CACACACCCCCCCACACACCCACCCCCACACACACCCCTTAATGAAGGAGAATCCCCATGTTTACCTTCCAAACACCTGTGACCGACACTGGAACTCATTTAGAACTGTTTACAGACAGCAGGTTTTTTTACTGTCAGTACTGCTGCAGTACACAGACAAATACACAGCTGTACTGCAGTGTCAATATTTACTTTTCTCTATAGTCTTTTTTTTTGTTCCTCTGTTGTGATGATTGGAGGAGTCTGTGGTCCAGTCTGTGGTCCAGTCTGTGGTCCAGTCTGTGGTCCAGTCTGTGGTCCAGTCTGTGATCCAGTCTGTGGTCCAGTCTCTGGTCCAGTCTGTGGTCCGGTCTGTGATCCAGGTTGTGGTCGTGGTTGACACAGGAAACTTTAACAGGAGTTCCTCTGAGTCCTCAGACCTCAACCCTTAAAAATGACATCCTGACAGAGAGAGCTATTTCAGGAGAAGAAGGACAAGAAGACAGGACTGAACAGGACAAGCATGAAAGACAAGCGAGCTGACACTGACGCAAGCAAGACATGAAGCAAGCTGTTGCCGGGGGGTGGGGGGGAGGAGGAGGAAGAGCAGGAGAAGGGTGAAGGTGGGGGACAGGACATTGCGCCACTCACCACTGGACCCGGTCTGCCGTCTAACCCATGAGCCCCCTGTATAGCGTTGTACATAGTTAGAGCAGAGATGACGAGGGAAGAGATGGTGGAGAGGTGAGGGGAGGGGGGAGGAGGGGGGGGGAGCAGCTCCAAACCCTGTCTGTTCTCACTCCTTCATGACAGACAGAAGAACAGACACACCTTCACCACCGCCGTTCTACAGCAGCTACTGTTGTAGCACGAATGCTGTCAACATGTAGGAGCATGAAGACACACACACACACACACTCACACACACACACACACACACACACACACAGAGACTCAGAAGGAAATGGGTGTGTTTGTTGTTACAGAGTTTAAATTCTACCATCGTAACGACTGTATCCTGTTTTTACTTCATTGTCAAGTCTGAGGCTAATCCAGTACTTCTCAGATAGTGGGGTGGGTGCCCCCCCACCCCACCCCCCGGGGAGGGGTGGGGGGGGCAGTGAGGAGCTTCCAATGGAATATCTTTACTCTGGACATCAGTCTGTTATGTTTGAACGATAACAAGCCTCCAGTCACTAGGTGGCAGCAACTCAAACAGTGGTTTGTTGAGATAAAAAATATATATATTTGATCAGGTTCTCAATAGTATTTTAATTCGCTGTGGGTCGGAGGGAGGACAAGGGGCGGGAAAACATTTCTGTCCCCAAGGGGGGGCATGACAGAAAATAATTGATATTTTTACAGGTTAGTTCATGTTTATTGTTTAAACAAATATAGATTAAATAAAGATTTAATCTTCATTTAGATTTAAATATATATATATATATATATGTGTGTTTAATCAATAAACCTGAACTTGACTAAACACTGTCTCCTCCTCTTCCTCCTCCTCCTCCTCCTCCTCAACAGCCTCTGTAATTATTCCATCATCAGTGGTTCAGTAGACTAACGCCTGGAGCAGAACGTGTCAGAAATCCAAGAATAAAGACGTCCAAATTCATCAGGACTCAGCCGCAACAACAAAGGTTCCGGAAGGTTCTCGAAGCCCCGGCGTGTTTGTAGGACGACGTCCCCAGTCTACAGACGGTCACTGGACGGTCAGTGACGACGTGCTGTAGCTTTGACACCGAGGTCAGTCACAAAGTCCTCAGACAAATGAAAGAACAGTGAAAGGAAGTGGATTTACACCAGGCCTGGGGTCAAAGGTCATCCTCCATCATTCTCTACAGAGACACCAGTGGCATCAGTTGATGAGGTCACTTCCTGTCACGCCTCCAGTCACACGGTCGTGACGTTATATCACATTACGCTGTGATTCTTTCACCTGTGAACTCTCTCCTGCCCCCTGCTGCTCCTGAGTCAACGTCCCAGAGTCCAGGGTTTGACCTGAACTGAGGTGTGGAACACACACACCACTTCACACACACCAAACCCTGCATGCTGTGTGTGTGTGTGAGAGAGAGAGAGAGAGTGTGAGACAGATGGCTGTGTTTGGGGACAGTGAGAAAAGACACCAAATGGTGAAAAGGGAAGAAGGTGTCGGTACGACTCCCTGTCTGTACCACTGCTAGATGTTGGCTCTAAGACATGATCAGCACCAGGTCCTGATTCCCAGCCTTCACTATGATCACTCTATTTGCCCTGAGGCCTGACATGGAATACTTCATCTGGAATATTAATATTTCATCAGGAATACTAATACATCATCAGGAATACTAGTACTTCATCAGGAATACTAAAATCTCATTAGGAATACTAATACTTCATCAGGAACACTAATATGTCATCAGGAATAGTAAAATGTCATCAGGAATACTAATATTTCATCAACAATACTAATACTTCATCAGGAATACTAATATGTCATCAGGAATACTAATACTTCATCAGGAATAGTAAAATGTCATCAGGAATACTAATATTTCATCAACAATACTAATACTTCATCAGGAATACTAGTACTTCATCAGGAATACTAATATTTCATCTGGAATACTAATATTTCATCAGGAATACTAATATGTCATCAGGAATACTAATATTTCATTAACAATACTAATACTTCATCAGGAATAGTAAAATGTCATCAGGAATACTAATACTTCATCAGGAATACTAGTACTACATCAGAAATACTAGTACTTCATCAGGAATACCTGACCCTCTCCCAGGGTCAGGAACATGCCGGGGCAGATGAAGGGTTAATGACCCACACTCCTCACTCCACTGGTGCAGTTCAGGGGGATCTGTACTCTGAGCCTCTGAGTCTCACCCCCCCCCCACCCCCCCCCCCCCCACCCCGCCTCACCCCGTCGC